TCGCAATTCATCTTTTGAAAATAGTAATAATAAAATCAGTGAAATTAATCTTTGCTGGTTTTTTTCTGCATTGAGATATTACCATGTGTTTTATTTTCAATCTTTTTCAAATGAAAATATCTCTTCTCTGCTAAATTAAAAGACCCAATTTTATTGTAAAAAAGGTACACGCTATACATATTCTGCGCAAACATGACCTTTGCTAACAAGCTACATTCTCAAATACCAATTTTACTTCAAAATGTGTTCATATAATTTAGTTGTATTCTATCAAATATATTCTGAGAGAACTCCTTTTGATAATGTTGGTTTTGCTCAATGAAGCTTTAGAAATGGTTTTTAGCACACACAGGTCTTCTGGCTCAGAAACCATTTGATAATGCGATGCACAAAGATATTTTTCCTCCATTTAAGAAATTCAGTTCACTATTCATGTCCTTCATGGCTACTGAAATAGATGGTCCCTACTTCCTGTAACAATGTATAAGTGGCCCTGTGGAGTCCATTTGGGATATGACGACTTCTTTACAACCAGATAAAACATGCCATTGAGCTATGAAGTGAATCAAAATGGCATATTTAACAGGATGTTCCATGTTGTGACAGTCCATTTTCAGGCAGATGGCAAAAACTAGAGAAACACGCGGCTGGACGATGTTTACATTCAGACCAGCCTCTGCAACACAACCTGTAGGTTTCCACAGAGTCCATTTAAAGTCTGCATTCGGCGTTACTGCTTGCTGCCATTTCGTCAGCTTGGAGTCAATAAATCTAAATTTGGGTGACAGTGTTGTGGAAGGTCGGTGAGGGAAAGGTGTGCCAAGCAAGTGACAGTCAAAATCACTTGAGTGACTTTGATAGACCAAGAGGAAATGTCAGTCAATGCAAAGATGCTAATAATGCACTTCACAAACATTCATTCTCAAAGCGCTTTTTCTTTAGGTATTAGGTTACTATGATATTATATAATCTATTCTTTTGTAATAACTTAAATAAGAAAAGCTCTGTATTCAAAGCTATGATAGAGTTTGCCAGCCAGATAAACAAGGCTTTCTTCTTTGTATAGTGGTGAGCTATCTGAATATTTTATATTCATACTGTTATTCAAAACAGGGGTTACACAACTCTTTTCATCTTTGAACTGTAGAAAATAGTTGTAAAACTTGATCAGCTCCAAAGAGTGAATCAAAAACAAACTGACAGCAGAAAGCCGTGATACGCCGTCAGCTTATCAAGTTCCTTTGTCTTGTATGTTAGCAAACATCTGTTTATTCATACGTTCAGAAGAAACCGAGCATCAAATTAGAGTCCTTCATGCTACCTGTCAAATTCAACTTGAATATTTACTAGTGTTTATTCCAGGTTCGACCCCCTAAAAATGGATACGTCCCTGATGTTTACTGGAAATAAGAGTGCAAGCTCAGAGTGTCATACCTTTCAGCGAGTGTCTGTAGACAGATATTTTCATCTGTCTCTGGAGTCCTTTGTCAGAGACTGTGTTTCAGCGAGAAACCTCCCATGGCATTTCATTTTCACTTAAAATGTAATACATGCTGCCGGTCTGCAAGTGACAAGAGTCCAGGTGCTAATGCCCCTGTGGAGAGCCATAGCAAGGTGAAGACAAGGCTCTAATGTTCCTCATTTAGAGTGAAGCTACTTTCTTTGATTGATATGTTGGAATATTTATAATTGTTGTACATTTCTTCAAATGATGATTAAAATATATTGCGTGTGTTGATTTACTCACATTGTTTCCCCAGCTGGCACTCTGTTGGTAGATGAAGGTTTTTTTTCAGCCATCTCTTCAACCAATTTTCCAAAATGTTGTGGCTTTCCTTTCAGTAAGGGGAGTACTATGAACACAAACATGTATAAAGGGTGAAGGAAGGACATGTATTATTTATTCTCTACTCTCTGTCAGGGGGATAAGTGTGCTAAACTTGTATCCCTGGTCAGGTATTCTCCCTGTAGAAGATGTGCTTAGAGTAATGGATGATACATGGTAATGCAGTTACCATGTATCATCCATTCTCTATTCTCTCAGTATGTTAATATTCCCGGTGTTTTGATTCATTTTACCCATTGCCTTAACCCGCAAGCATATGTCAGCGGCTGCACACAGTACATGGCTTGCATTTATTGGCTCCTGGCATCATCCTAGACTCACTTTGTCTGGCTGTAAATGAGTGTAAATGGATATGTTAGTGGCGCAATGAATACGTGTTTATTGGAAGTAATGCCCTGTCACAATCACAGCTGGCAAAACGAAAGCCACTGTAACAATGACATTCATTTGTCCGAAGCAGAGAGAGCATTTTGTGAAATGTAGTCCATTTCACAGGGAAGCATGTTTATACTTGCCTGAGGCCATGCACTATTGACTGATATGAAACAGTTGTTTTCCACATGTACACTGAAGTGTGGTACTGACAGTCCCTTATATGATGAGGCCCTCTGTTTCGCGAGCGTCGACGGGGGGACGGGACGAGGGGTGCTAGTGGAGCCTCGCAGCGGCGAAACCGTGCTGCGCCACACGAATTGTGCCGCATACAGTATGCGCATAGGTGCGCTGCATTTGCGGCTCAGTTGAGGCTCCCTCCGCAAGATGAGGCGCTCTCTGCAAGGTGAGGCCCCACGCAGTCTGCGTGATCGGCCTGTAGGGAGGGACGGCCCTGGGTACTGATGTTCTGGATTAAATGTTATCAGGAGCAGCTTTACAATTTTGCTATATGTTAGTATGGCACTGCTTAGGGCAAATAATAAGATGTTGTTTTGCGTTGGTCTTAATATTTTATCCATTATTTTGTTTCTGACTTCCAACAAAGACTTTACTCATGTATTGAAAATCTCTATTCAACATGTAGGAAAAGGGGACTTGATGTAGTTGTGGTTAGCTGTTTGTCTTTCTGCACATGTTTTACTTGGCATCACAATGTGACTTGTGCTAATGATTCACATTATCACCTCAAAGAGGCGTTGGGCTATGCCAACCATGCTGCTGGGTGCCTTCGTGTTTGTGACATGCTTTCCTTTGAGTTATTTTGGGTTTGTCTGGGCTGTCTTCACTGGCATGCATTTTCCGCAGAAAGAAAAGCCCCCAGCTTGAAATAGCATCTCTCTATTAAAGTGTTTTTGACTCACCTCCGCTCTATGAATTCCTAATGTTTTCGACTGTTGGTCTTTCTCTTAAAAAGTGTATTGTACAGGAATAACTAAACAAACAAACAACTTGGATCGCAGAAGAGCGAGTTCTTTAAACCAATAACAGCTTTATTGCATTCAATGTGTCCAATTCATACAGAAGGTCTATGAAATTATTTTCTGACGAAGATGGCTTTTTGCTATTGAAGTGCTATGGAATTGCTGTATGTTTATTTAGATAACCATACCTCCTCAATCAAATAAGATGCTCCTGTTGTTGTACAATATCAGAACATCCAATGACGGGATGTAATACTTTTCTTTGCGAACCAACCCATAAACCTTTAAATACATACATATAAAGCTCTACAGGGTGGTCAGTGACTGCTAAATGAAGCGTTCACTGAAAACATTCATTTCAAAAACATATTACCTGCTGCTGGCCCAAAATGTCTACAGTGCATTTACTCTGATGGAAGCTTCCCCTAAGCTGTTTTAGGGAACATTTCTTTGAAACCCACGCTTTCAACCAAAATAATTAGTTCATAAAGATTATTGCTCCCTCAACCTCATGACCCTTTGTCTAGATATGTCGCTATCCTAAATTATGAGATATGAGTTGTTGTGTTTTTTCAATGCCCATTTTGCTTTGACCCCCCTGGATCTCTAGATATTTTGAGCTAAGGGAATTGCAGCAACAGCTGGGTTGTGCAACATATGTATCATAAACCCCATGTGTTTTGTTTTCCTTATAATGGAAGAGTATAAGGCTGCCTAAAAGAGTATGCATTTGTATTATTGTTAACAATGTTTTACATTGATTAATTCTACAGTATTGTATACAATGTCCAAAGGGGTTCAATTGACAACCTAAGACAATGCCCAATAGTCACACATCAAGTCAAGTCAAGTCAAGTCAACTTTATTGTCAATCTCAATATATGTTTGTACCATAGGTTTGTACACACAGAAAGATCGAAATACTGTTCCCCACAGTCTTGAGGTATAAAAAAAAAAAAAAAAACGCACACATTAAGATGCAAGAACACTCAATAATTTACAAAAAAACCACAAAATAACTGTCTACTTCAAGTAAGCAGGATATATATATATAAAAGATGATGTACATAGTGCAAATGGGAGTGCAAAATTGGAGTGCAAAATTGTCCATAGCAGCGTAAAAGTGATGCAACATATGACATTGAGCAGCCATTGATATACTATGCAGTCTGTTTTCAAGGGGGAATTAGGGAAGTACTGACAAAATAGAAAAGCAACACAACTGGTTCAAGGTTAAGGAAAAGAGATACATTTGGTCTGTGGGGAAAGTTAAATGAAAGGTGTTTTATAACAAATGTTTTTTTAAGGATGACTGAATTTAAGTTATTTAAGGTTTCTCTGTGGTCTCAATGTTTCTTGGTATGTGAATAACTGATCCCTGCCCTAGATTTGTCATTAGAAGACTTTTAAGAAATGGGGTCATGCCGTCTCAGAAATTCTGATGACTGAAGTGTTTGAGTTTTGAGGAAATGGTGTTACTGAAAGGGGGAATTATATTAGTTTATGACTGTAGTAGGACCTGAGAAGGGAGATTTATTTTACAGAAATAGTTTTTTAATATACTTTGCCTTTAAGATGATCAGGGTAAATAATTAACACTGTAATAACAACTTCAAATCTGAATATAAAACATTACATTTATATGTATGTACCATACTTGTCATACATGCTTTGCAATGCTTTTACATTTTAACGTCATGATAAAACACATTGCCCTACTGTGTGCTCATAAGGGGTTATAGATTTGTAGATGTTTGTGACTAATCTTGGATTCCAATTCTTCTTTTCTTTACATATAGCACTATACTCCATCATACTATTCTGCGTCTTCCTATGGATCCCCTTTGTTTATTTCTACTATGAAGAAAGGGATGACGACAACGTGAACAAATGCTCGGTAAGAACTCACATTTCTTCTTATACACACAGCACTGCAATCTGCTTAGATTTGGTTCTGAAGGATCCAAATTCATTCAAATGATTCAGGTGCAGCTTACCAATATGGTAAATGCAAAATGTCTTGTTGTAATTTAAGTCAACATGAAACCATTAGCTTCCACCCATTTTATATGACAAACACTAAGAGATGATTTCCATCTTTCCAAAGTCTTTACTCCAATCTTCTGTTTACTCCTTTGTCAAATCAGGTTTGTCAACACAGTGCATGACAGATTTTAAGTCTTTCTGGTCATTTTGCTGTAATGTTTCTTTTATGGTTTTGTTTAATATTTGGGGGCCTGGCACTGAGGAAACCACATTGTATTGGACCTGTATTTGTACACGCTAAATGACATACATAAAATGTAAACCTTAACTTAGCTATTATTAATTTAAAATAAAGAATCTTTATAAATGGCATAATGCCATGTTTGCTTAGGATATTCAGTCAGAATGTTTTTAAGGGCCATGAAGATACAGATAATGCACTTAATGTGTGTTTGTTTACAAAAACCAACACAACTGGCTAAACAATCTTTATATATGTAAGAATACATATATACTATTGCATTCATACTGTTAGTCATAGACCCCACATTGTAACTTAAAGCGGACCTATCATGCAAAATACACTTTTTGATGTCTTTTATACATAAAGATGTGTCCCCGGTGTGTCAGGGAACTCACGCAGCGTCAGAAAATAAAAACCTCTCTCTTTTCCTCCATACCCAAATCTCTAAAAACGGGGCTACAACGGAGCTGATCCAGATTTGCGTCCAATATAACGTAATATCGTAAATGTAGGCTGGCTTTACACCCACGGCCCTATCAGAAACTTTGCTATCAGAAACAATGCCCGACTGTTTTGGACATAATATGGTCGGTGCATGTTTACATTAGCATCGCTAAAACTCAGAGCTAACCTGTACTGGCGAGAGCATGTGTGTGAAGAAGCAGGAAATAAAAAGGAACTCACCTTGTCGGTTATACCACAAGGTGAGTTCCAAGAGAGAAAGCCTTTGAGCTCCATACTGTTTCAGAAATGATAATCCATGATATGGCGTTTCATCACGGCAGTATTTAGTTTAGACAATAGCTTTTTTTTTTTTTTAAAGCTTTATACCCAAAATCAGCACTTTTGAAACAGGAAGTGAAATAGAGGGATATGAGGCATGGCTAGAATGGGTGATCTGTTTGGTATTTTGAGCAAAACACTTCATAGACATGTTTTTTATATATTTTTATATATCTGAGACCTATGCTATTGCCTAAAAAGAGCATGATAGGTGCACTTTAAACATTAAGGGAAAAAAAATGTCAATCTTTAAAATTCGTTTTAGTGATTTACCAAACCAGTGATCACAAAGTGCCCTTTTCTAATTTCAATGTGTCAGTTTTGAGCTGACAGAGGCATTTTCTCTTACAGACAGTGAAGTCTTTTGTATTGTTACTTTAAAAGCACCTTGAACAGCGCTGGGAGTGACACCTTATCTCTGCCAGGTCAAACTGGATCTACACTGACTCTGTATAGCTGTCACTCACTATTGTCCTTATCTAAATGGAGTATATGACCCCGTTCCCTCATTAAAAATGAATAATAATATTTCATGCCTGTGATTGACCAGTAAAATGTTCTTCTTCTACAGCAAGTGAAAAACGCTCTGAAGTACACAGTTGGGTTTGCCATTGTCTGCGTGGTGCTCCTTTTAATTGGGTAAGTTGGAGAAATGGCTGGTTTCTTCGGCTTCAGTACACGATAGGTGGAAGAGGGCGTGGATGTGTCATTGTGTGGAGTTAATGAGAGGAAGGCCCCTTCAAACAGCCACCATATAATTTGCCTGGCTATGATAAGCCATTAAAATAAAAAAACTATAGACGTCCTCTGTCTAAATAAAGGTGGTGTTCTTGTCAATCTGATTCCAAACCAGCATGTGTTATCTATGTACAAAGCTTATGTGGAGGGAATATTGAGGCTTTTCTGTGATATTGTGTGTTATATCTACAAATCTATATTGATGCACCTTCTCAGCCATGTCCCATTTATCCCGCAATTTTCTACTAGTTTTGTTCTGTAGCACCTGCAGTACATAATAGACTTCTCTGCAGCCGTCACGGCAACATGCCACGAGTGCTACCTAAACTAAGCAATGTGCTCTCTCAGCCGTTAAATGCTACATTGGAGGTTTACTTGGTTTTAGAAAAATAAAGGACCCATGACTATACTTTTTCACAGTTAGTGTTTGGAAGTTAGGATTTATTTGAGACTAAAGCAATTAAGCTCCTCTTTTACCCCATGAACTGGAAACGAGAACTAGAAGGCTTTGTTCTGGCTATTGTTTCTGTGGTAACAAAATAATGGCTTTTATACTGGCCTGCTTTTCTCATACTAGGAGAAATCATGGTTGAGGTAGGTTTCTGTTAATTCATTTGGTCTTTTCTTCATGCGATTTATATTTTGTCTTTTTTACGTTGCAAGGTGTATACCTCCTTGTATTATTTATATTTTAATGCTACACTTTTTCTATTATTTTGCCACTGCAAGTAACTTTGTTTTAACATTTAGGACCCTACCCAGTCTTGTTATCTGTGTTAAAGTTACTACAAGACACTTTTAACTTGTTATGAAACATTTTCACTGTAATACTAATGACCTACCCATCTTATCGTCTTTAAATTAGAATGATTTTATTTTCTGCTTCAACTGAAACAAAATAAATACATAAAGAATCAAAATCATTACATAATGTTATTGTTTTCAAGGTTTTAGAGTGGCGATGCTACGAGAATTTCTGAATGCTCGAACACTATGCATGATGAATAGACAAAAGCATTAATGACTCTGAATGTTTCTATGTTTGGTATTCTAAGAAAATACCCCGTAGAGTTTGCAAAAGTTACTTTTCACTGCAGACAAAGTTGTAGAGAGTTTTGTCACAGCTAAGGTCACTTTTATGAAGTGTGCTTTCCTAGAATGAAAAATGACACATGGCATGGCCTAAAGGAAACTATTAAGTGTGGAGCCCTGAGGGTAGCAACATGATAGTGGGGCAGATAAAAGCTATTGAGACCTCAGACCTTTTTCTTTTTGCATGTAAGGCAAGGAGAAGTCTTTAGAGATGGTGATTTCATGTCTTTTACCTCCCCTGGTGAAGGCTTTTTATTTTTTGAACGACCAGTTTTTGAATTTCCTCAAAGAATCCTTGTAGCTTCAGAGAGCATCATATGTCTCTGCTGTCTGTCAAGAAGGATTCATGATTAAAGGAAAACCATTTCAGAATAAAATATAAATAAATATATATATATATAAAATTCTGTATCAATACTGGTGAACCTTTCCCTCTTTTTGCTTGAATACATTAATACTGGGAATCTTGAGAAGGTCTGTTTAAAAAGTTTTTACTAAATATGTTTATCTCAAAAAAACAAACACAAAATCATCTGCCTCTTCGAAGAAATGGGTAAAAGGTGTTTGGTGGAACATGATTGTCTACGTTTATCAGGAACAAATATCAAGACCATGTCAATCATGCTTGGTTGTGCTAAATATTGAAGACTCTTAATACATAGTAAATAGTAATAGGAATAAACATAGATCTTATTTTCACAAAGTGAAAATGAAGAAAAGAGGTTCATCTTGTTTTGAAGTGCAGTATCAAAGTGGATAATATCCTTTTTATATATTTGTATTTGTCTGCTGTAAACATATTGTACCAGGGGCAGTATCATTGTATTTGGCACAGAAAATGATATAATTATAATTATATATACATCCAAGGAGTTACTCTTACTTGTCGTTACTTCTGCTAAATTATTCTTTTGTTGTTTTCAGAGCCTTCGTTCCACTTGAGCCCCCACCTGGTCAGAATTCCACCCAATGGGAAAAAGTACAATACCTTTTTGAAGAGCTTGGGAGTAGCCGTAAGTACAGCCTCTTTTTGGAATTGTTCTCCCTTTTACAGTTGTTGTTACAGCGACTTCATCAGATTGTCTTTCCTTTATTTATTGTGTGATCTGATTAATTTATTAGTTAAAAGTGACCCCTTAATAGGCATATTCATAACTAAAGTAACATTTAGCAATCCCACTATTCTTCTAACCGTATACTTTCTTGCTTCTTTTTCTTTTTCATATTTTATTCCAGCAACATTGACCGGTGTAAAGTCTACAGTTTTAATGGGGAGCACATTTGAGATGGGTTGACATAGCAGACAAAAAAGAAACAAGTTGTCAAAAGAAAGGGCATATTGGGTTAGGTGTGTTGAATTTGAAAAAAACTTCAACTCATTTAAAACTCATCCCACAGCTTTATGACCCTAATTAATCTTATTCTTCAACGTGTCAACTGTCAGCTAACTGCATGTTAGATAAAATAAACTTGTTACATCATGCGTTTATTTATTCATGTTCACCACCAAACTTCTTACGTTGATTGGTAATTATTTAAGCATTCATCTTGCTGGATTTTATTTGTCAAACATTACAGGGGGTGATACTGATGTCAATAATACGTTTGGGCTTAACAACTCGTAGTCTATTTAAGAAACTACCGAAAAAGAGACTCACAAATGTTACTGTCAATTACATGCTTTGGATTCCTCCATTAATTCACTTTACCAGCAATAAAAAGTGACTTTATAGCCTCAATTTCAAAGTGCAGTAAGAAATTCAATTTGCCAGTTATAATCATCTGCTAATGATGGTTGACTGTGTGATCCCAACACTGCGGAAAGACCCTCCTTGGGCATCTTCACTAGTTAAACGGAGCATTGCCAAATATGGACTCCTAACAGTCTTCTGGCCTTTTGCCATCTGGGGATCAAGGAGGAAGTTGAACCATCTGCCTGTCCTCGGCACAATAGTGGACCCCTACATGCTCTCCCTAACCTTCCTCCCTTGGCACAGGGGGAAATAGCTCGGCTGCTGAGGAGGAAATGTGAGGATCATCCCCCTTTCTAATTCCTCATCCTTTCCCCTCTCCAGATGGGGGGGTTAATTGAGTAAAGGAAAGGCTCTTTTGCCCCGTAACCCTGCTGACTGCTTTGCAACGCTGGTTCATTAAGACCCTTACATCTCTTTCTTTAATGGCTCCAACATTACACTGTTCCGGTGATGCACACTCCGTACTGACAGGTCTCTTTTATTCAGACGATGTCTCGGCCCTCGGGCTTTCTTCAGGATCAACAATCATTTTTGAAAGAGGCCTTTGGGGCCGGAACACCATCCGAATAAAAAGACATGCATATGGAGCGGCAGTGTGATTCACTGGTGCGTTACCTTTTTTATACACAATGTTCCAATGAAGCCTCGATGTTCTTTAGATCAGTAGCTGTTATTGTTGGTATTCAACAGCAGACACGACACTCTTGCATTTCCGGCCATGCCTCAAGGTTGTAGTAGAGTGGGTGGGAGTCCAACTTTCACTTGTAAATGTACTTGGGCCAGAATGACTGTGTATGCTCATTATCAGTGAGAAAAGAACACATAAACTCACACTGACCGTGAAATATCAACGTGTACTGTATATCGGAATCCGATGTGTTTGAGCAAATCTTAAACACATCAATTATTTCTAGCAGTGTTTCTTTCTCTCTTCAACCCCCATACAGAAGATAACCATAGGAATGCAATATAAACCCCCAAGTTATTCTGTGTTTTCCTGTATGAACTCTTCTTGGTTTGAAGAAGACAGCTCCCATGCCACAAAGAGTATCCGACCTTCTCTGAGTCTCTGGTGGGGTCCTGGAGTTTGTAGTCCATGTTGAGAATTGGGGTTGAAATTATGTTTGGCAATGAACTATAGTTCTAATCATAAATTATTAATGGTAAATTAATACAGTTACAAAACCTGGCATGCCAAGGATCCTTTAGGTTATCATTTCTGTACATACACAAAACACGTTTGTGTTTTTAAAATAGCATGGGTAAAAATAGAGGCCATCAGTTTATTTGAAATGCATTTGAGGCTTCAGTTGACAGATTCCTAGTGAGGGGGCTGACGTGACGCTGCTGATCTCATCTTGATGGATCGTTTGACAATTCCTGCTGTCCCTCAAAGTGTCCCTCAACTGTGGGATTAAAGCTCAAATATGCCCAAACTATGTTCTTAAATATCTGACCCTATTTTTTAAATGATTTGACAGCTTTACCCACACAGGGAAAAACGAATTATTGCTCTCAACTTTCTCAACTTTGCTAAAGGCCTCCACATGCTGTTTTTTGGCAATATGTGGTCATTTCTGCAGTAAATTGTATCCCATCCCATGATCGTAAAGCTTCATTTGACTTGTTTTGATAATTCTATCATTCCACAGTATGAGCCCGTGCTTAAGGGGCTCCTTAATTAACACCTCTTTGTACAAGCATGCACACAAGCCTGAAGGGCTATACGCAGCGTCAGATAAGAGCACCTCTTTGCTGCTGGATTCAAAGCTGTTCAAATGTGGAAGCCCCACCGATAATACACCATATTCCCTCTGTATAATCCCCGGAAAATCTGCTCAAGGCGACCAAGAAGAGTGGCAGCAAACATCTATCCTTTGCTTTGTGCGGAGTTCACGAACAGAATGTCCTCCATGCAGAACAAGGAGCTATTGTCTATTTTACAAAGCTCACCACTAAACAATGGCAAAAAAATCGCAATGAAACACTCGGAATAGGAAATGTATTCAAATGTTAATGTTCAGCCCAGCTGTCAGACTTAAAAGTTTTCCTTTTTGCATACAATACAAAAGGAAGCAGGCATATAATTTATCTCCATTTTCCACCTCTTTGTTCCGCTGCTTGTGAAATGCCTCTAAAAGAAAGTGATAAATGTTATAAACAACACAAAGTATACATGCCCTGAATACGGACTTAATATATTCAATCAAACGCCGCTGTCAAGGAGAAAGGCAAGCAGGGAGCCACCTATGGCCGTGCTGACAGGTGGCCCGGGCGCGATGAAGATGCTGCTGTGAGGATGCAGGATATCTATAAAGGGACAACTGTGTATCTTTTTTGCGTGGAGCCCTATAACAGGTGGGAGCTTGACAGGGGATTGAAGCAATCAGTCCCTCCATCAATCCCTGTCCTACAACTCCAACTCTGACAGCTGGTGTGACACCTACTGTTGCCCTTGCCTGATGGGTGGTCCCCTTTCTGCCTCAATCAAAGGTGACACACATCATCTCAGCCTATATACATTGAAAGACCCAGCTGTTACCCATCATGATCAATGTATGAAATGGCAATGATGACAAAAAAGTGGACCATATGTGTCTCCAGAGGAAGACTTTGCTCCTGTGCTTTCATTAACGGCAGATTTAAAACCCAAGAGCAGAATACCAAGACGATGCCTTCTCTTTGTCCTTGTGAATAATATTCCTGCCAATTGCCTTCAAGTAAACCAATCCCGGGAGTTTTCACTGAAAGAACATTAGCAGGAAGGTGATTTCTTTGCAGTTCCAGATGGGTTGTTTTCTTGGCAAGAAAATATGCAAAACTATTAATTTTTGAATTTCTTATTATTTTGTTTGAGGAGATGAATTTTCTTTCACAATTCTTGGGGCTCTGTAATTACATTCAAGACATCATTTCAGAGATCAGTGCACCCAAATAAAAAATAAAAAACACTTTTCGCACCTACCTCAAGGATATCTAGCTACCATTACTGCCTTTGCAGAGGTTTAATGAATTCTGCAACCATTTAAAGAGGTAACCCAGGGACTACCAACAGAGAGATTTAAAAAAGAATCATTAAAATGTAAGCAGCAGATAAAATGATACCCTGCTCTCCTCCCTGGATGTTACATGTTTAACAATGCCCCAAAAGATCCTCCTCATCTAGTAAATTCCTACATCAGGGCCACTCGCACTGGGATGGCCCCGATCATATCACTATGACATCATCAAGGTCTTCTCCTAAGACAAAGCCTCTCCAGGGCCACAGAGAACATACAACTGTTCACATGCTGAGTACCACCTCACATGAACACTAAAAGCACCTTCTTCACAGTGGAGTGTCCACCTAAACTCACACACAATATTTTAGGATATCTCAAAGACTTTTCTAAGGATTTTAATTAGTATTTTATAATTTTTTTAATCAGAATCAACCTACCTAAATTATCTATCTAAATGACTTCCACCAGAATTGTTCCATTGCACTGTGTACAGAAGTGCGTCAATGTTATTTCAGAAGCATCTTTAGAACTGACAACAAACCCACACCTGGCTGACATACGGCCAAAGTGTACACCGTACAAAAGGCTCTTGATAGATTATGCATTCAGCAAAGAGTCCTTTGATATTTCTTTCAGAGGCCAAGGACACATCTCTAATGGCTTTCCTGTCGTTCTTTTACCTGCAGATGGTCTACCCGCTCTCTCTTTCTCCATCAGCTCCTTGACCTTGATTGGCATGTTGGCAGTGATCACTTACACGGTGAGTTGGGACCTGAGACAAGTGTTGATGTGTTTAATGGAGCTATATCTACTCAGTGATGAAGTCAAATCATCCAATAGGATGTTTTCCAAAAATGTTGCCAGCCCAGTAGCTCAATAGAACATCTGTGTATCAAGACACATCAAATGTTTAAAGTATTAAGAAAGACTCATTTCACTTATATTTCCCGAAGTGGAACTGTCAGGGCTAAAAAAAGCATGTTTTTGCCAAAAATGTAAGGTGCAGTGCAGTTTCTTAAAGTTTTTCCTGTACAATTGGTTTCTCACCTTCTGGGTTGAGATGCACCTGGTGATGGAGTGGCCTTTCAGTATTTGTAATGCCTTGTGATGTTAGAGCTCTGGCATTCAATTGCTCAAATTACTCAGACCGCTGTCTTTCACCCGAGCGCCCGAGACTTTTGCATGATGAATGTTGTGCACCCTTCACTGGCTTATCTACCACTTATCAGCCGTCTATTTATACATATATATATATATATAGATCCACCTCAGTGGCCATTAATATATGCCTATATTTTGATTCCCTCAGCATTCTGCACTTTATCCATTTTTTTTTCCTATATCAGAAAAATTGACTGCTGGAACACTTCTTAATGCTGTCCATTTTTCATAGCTGTTATCTTGGTGAATAGACTGTGAATATTCCCTGTGGGTGGGGGCACTGGTGCCATTGTGGGAGTTACACAGAAAAGTGCCTACTGGGTAGAAATACCAAAAAAAAAGTGTTCCTGTATAAACCCAGAGAGTGAGAGTAAAAGTAACAGCCAACCCCAATCTTTCCAGTTTCTGTGGAGCTCAAGGAGTCCTATTTGACAAATCACACAACAATTGAGTGTGGAACTCCTAATGAATAATACGCAACCGAGACAAGTAGGTTGTAGAACGAGTCTCGCTTAAGGACATGTAATCCATCTCCATTGGGACTGTATCCACTGTTCTCTAAAGGGTGCATACTTACCCAGTGCATGTTGGAAGTGTTCTCAGATTTGTTGATGTTGACTCTGCAAAAACCCTGTAGAAGTCAAAACAACTTTGTTTTTGATTTTTCTTGTTTTGATGAAGTCAGTCAAAGAAATCAAGCCTTTGGGCGACAACAGCGTCTGCCACTCCCTTATTCTCACAGAAACAAGTGCAGAAATTCTCTTTATCTCACTTTGTGTCCTTTCATCTAGCTTTTTTCCTCTGTCCTCTGTCTTCAAGCGGCGAAAGTCTTTTTAGTTGCAGCCTACCCATATTTGCAAAGAGCTGTTTGATTTATTATTTTTTATTATGTGTTACTATTAAGCCTGATTAACTTAATGGAATCTTAGTGACAGGTACTATAAGCAGCGGAAATGTTGTCCATGACTCCTGTGCTAATTTATCACGACTCTGCATACAGAACTTGCCATCTTCACCTAATGCAAAAAACTCAGTGATGTAAACAGTATATATCAGTGCAGCCCAGTGCACTTAAAATGAATACAAAGTGAAACAACTTTGACATCCTTTTGAACTTTTTATGCCATGTTCTCTTATGAGAAAGAAGGAGCATAAGAGAAACATATTTGTGTAATACATATTTGATCAAACAGAGATATCCTGTTGTAAAAAAAATGTGACACTGTTTTGATTTGACTAGTCTTGCTGTATGTCTATGCATCCTTTTGCTAAACTTAACACATTATTTTAACAGTTTAAATACTAAATGTTCCTATTGGGGAAAGTATCATAGATAATCAATTCACCACTAATAATACAATTAGCTTGTTGTCTGTTACAGTGTTACAGTGTCATACTGTTATTACAGTTCATCAATTAGAGCTCACCCTTAGAGGAGATAATACTATAATTATACTCTAACTCCAGATAAAATACATAGATTTATTTTTCTACGCTATATAATTAACATACTGTAGATTACTGCTATGAACTCAACTATACTGTATAAATATTCAATAGAGTTTTCATCCCTGCACTTTCAACTTATAATAGATAAGGAATGCAAGTGAATTAAAGTACACAGAAATATTACATTTTTCAAAAGCATTATCTGATTGTGACTTAAAAATAAAGGCCTGTTTCGTCACTAAACTGTTACAGTTGGTGTGTGGTTTTATAGTTAATTGTTTAGCACCTGTCAATCACTTTGAGCAATAGCAGGTAACATAAATGAATAGGTTGTCCCTTAAATAACACCCTGCAAGTGTATTTCTAATAGTTATACGCTTTGTATTGGATTTGTGATGAAAGCCTTTGTCACTTAATAATGAGGCTGTCATTGTTTAATGGTGATGATTAAGTAACTTGACAATGCCTATCTATAATAATAGTACATTTATTTCCTATCACCTGGGATGTTTACACATGCATATTCCTTCTGTATTGTGATTTGATTTTATCTGAGACATAAAGGTGGTGCATTATGTGAAGTCCTTTGACTTTATTTAAAAGCTAGGTCAGCGGATGACTCTCACTTCTCTCTCTCCCGTGGGCCTACCTGTCTCTTTCTCTTAAATTGCCAGCCGGCAGATGCTGATCTGAAGTTGGGAAGATGAATGTCTGTAGATCTAATCAGAGGCCCTGAGATTGACCTGGGAAGATGTTGTCTCGGAGTGAATCAGAGGGTGTCATTAAAACATATTACTTTAGAACTATCAAATCCTTTGATGCTTCGTTAATTTCAATATTTAATATTTACATTTCATTTATATAATTTATATTTCTCTAGCACTTTTCAACTGAAGTTAGACATTGGATTTCAAATGAAACATGGCATGAAAGATTCACTGCAGTAGAATTGTTTCATCTCTAGTTTTCAAAACTTTCAAAAAGCAAAATACAATTGCCTAAAAGGGAAGGTTTAAAAAAACATGACAATCACAATAACATTCTGAGGTGGCTAAAAATATGGCATGCGCTCCTTTCTTGTGCCGCGTGTCTTCTTTTTGGAATGTTTTTAAGACACAAACAAACCTTAAATGTTCTAAAACCATTCAGCGCAATGCGTCAAGTCACACAGCACGTCAGTATCACTCTTGGTCCAGGCATCCAATCATATCAAGTAGAAGTTAGCCTTTACTATTTTCCCGCCTCCTTACTGTTTTGATGCTAAAAGATGTGGTTTGAACAGTTGGACAGTGGAAAATGCAACTACAAAACACTTGGTCACCCTATTATTAAAATACAAGTTGGCAAAAACAGGAGCTTGACGTCTGCTTCAATCAATTGTTAATCACACATGTGATTGCCTGGTTGCGCATGCAGTCCCACTCCTCAAGCACACCATGCTGTTTTTCTTGGAAGTGCTTTACCAAGGCACTTGTGAAGTGACCGTACCTGTACCTGTAGTGATGTGTCCAAATCCATGGTTTTCTGGAAGGTTTCTTGTTTGTTTTTTTAATCAAAGGCTCACATGTGCAATTACTTTATGATTAGCACACCACTGATTGTAATGGGTCATTAAGCTTACTGCAATTACTGTAATTTAAAGAAGTGGTGATAGGTCAAACTTGGTACAATGTCTTTAGAAACCCAAAAGAGCGCACTTAAGGTTCGAGAAGCATGGAAGGCCTTTTCAGAACTGGGATATAGTTAGATTTTTCAGCTGTAGAAAGATTGGTAAAATTGCTTCCGTTAATTCAAACCTTTCGTTTACACACAACCACCCCATGTGAAAGGGGGGGGATCAACATGGGGCAAGTTATTTACTGACTCAAAATGTGTGCCAGTCTCTTCATTGGTCACTGACTGAGTATTCCTTATTACTAAACTGACTACACTATGTCTCAAAGGTTATATAGGCAGATGAGATTTAGTAACACAGCTGCTGGAAGGATACGGCAGGAAACACGAGTTTGAAGCTCAGTCATACAAGAATACACACTAATAAAGCCTCCATTGTTATCTCTATTAACATACTTATTACATAATACTAGAATTACCTCTTAAGCTAAAGGTTTTGATAACGTTGGGAAAGCCTCTTCTCTCTCCGTCCTCTTCCCTTTTGACTCCACCCCCACTAGAATAAAGAGCAACACTGAGGAGGCTTGTGTAAGAGACCTATGTCCATCTAGTCTTCCCTCTTCCCACTCAGCAGTCACATGACTCTCACTGAGTGATTTCAGCCACTATATCCCCTCTCAACCTACACACTCGTCGAGTCACACACACTCCAATCCACACTACTTCAATTCAAGCTATATCTGGTAATTATTGACTACAGTGGGTTTTAAAATAACTCTAATGTCCATGCATGATTATATGTCAACTAACAATGTGCACCCCAGCATAGGGACACCCGTGGGTTTTCTTTTATATTTCTCCCATGTAGTTGCAAATTTGAGCAAAGGGAAATGTTTCTCTTGGGATCTGGGACAGGTTTTCCTTTTATGAGTGCGTTTGATATTCGGGACATGCTCCGGCCTTAAGAGCTCCATGATTCATTGCAGGAGGCGACACTCGCCCGTAGCAGAGATCCACTGCAGAGACTAATAATAGTAAAACGTGACTTAGTATCCCATGCGACTCTCTTAATGCTTCCTAACACTCAGAAACTAGTAAAAGTTGTTTTAGAAAAATATAGGCTCTGACATTACAGCACTTGGAAAATAGAATAAAGAGGACAGTGACAGGGCTGGAAGTGTCTCTGCACAGAGGGCCACTTTGTTTTATTATCAAGCCGTAAAATGGCACTTCTTGAAGTTGGTTAAGGCAAGGCAGCGCAGGGAGAGCAAGAAAGCACAGGCCTGTTGCTGTTATTTTCATTTTGATTCATTATACTGTTTCCCTCGTTTTAATTTAAGTTCAACATCCCTCCCACTGAAAGCTGAACGTGTCTTTTGACTTTCGTGCACATATTCTCTCTGTGTCTCTCTTTGCTGTCACTGTTTTGATGTTCTGTTTATGTGTATGCCTGGTAACCATTGTTTATTATTTAAGCATTTATCTTCAAAAAAGAACATTTAATTTCAGTGCATGTCATTCAACATTGATGACCCCTCGATGCCCCTCCTTTAACCCAGATACCTCTCTCTAAAATTCCACTTATAAAAATGTGATCAAATCCTGGATAGAGGATAGTGCTGTCACATGGGGGCACTGTTAAGCTGTAAATTGCATCACAGCGATATGAGGCACTGACTTCCACACAAAATGGTTGCAGCAAATTCACCAATAAACCTCAGCACAATTATAGATTCCACCATTTTAATCCTTTTTCCTCAACCAAAAAGGACATGGCCCAGCAGGCCAGTAACTATACAATATCCTGTGTTTGTTTGCTTACACATTTGTCGTGTTTCCCGCATTGTGATGGTTTGTCATCAAACAGGCGTAAATATGTGTGGGTGGGTGCATGTGCCATATGTGCCATTCCACTCTGACAATACTGTGTGATTATAATATTAGTTTTGCTCTTGTTTTCAGGCATACGGTATGTCTGTACTGCCTTTGAATCTGATAAAAGGCACACGGAGTGTGGTGTACGAACGTCTGGAGAACACAGAGGACATTGATGATGTCGAGCATCAGATAGAAAAGCTGAAATCCAAGGTTGGTATCTCAGATGGTACATACTGCAATAGGTAACATTAGTGACATAATTCATGTGATCACTTAATTGAACAAAACCTAGAAGTGAAGATTAATAGATCATAAGCAGATTTATTAACAGTAAATATCCCAAAATATTTGAACAATGTATGATGAGTGTCTAGTCATGCGTTTATAGAGGTAAACATGCATCATTCCCTCTACTTCATCCGTCTGCAGTGTCCCTGTCTTGCATCACAGATGCTTTTCATTGTGCTTATCAACCCCCCCCCCCCCAAATGAAGGCAGCACAAACAGGGAAACACATGTACACAGGTCTATTTGTTGCTATTAGTTGCCAGGGCAACGTGAAGCTAAACACAAAAAACCAATTGTCACAGTGCAATCGTCATTCCTTCGCTATATATATTGAGTGAACACAGGGAATGGTTGTTTTACAGATCAAATGCATAGTAAATACAAAAAGGAAAAAGTCCAACATAGAACATACACAACATATTTTGCTTAAATTATTTGAATTTCAAAAGCCGACATTCTTACTTGATGATTTTATTTTCTGAAATGATAGGTAAAAAAAAAAAGAGATTTGTTATAACTGAACCTTTATACCTTATTATTTTGTATTCATTATATATTTCTTATTGAAATGTATTGAACATTTCTTGTACAGTTCAACATTATCCACACCAGACACTCCAACTACAACAGATAATACCATAAATATAACTACCCATTGGTTTTCCTTTAAATATGTATTAATTGACATGTTTGGTTGTGTGTCTGTGTGTTGTCAGTGTGAAGACGGACGTCCTCTCTCCTCAAGGGACAGAGCGAACCTGCAGGAGCTGGAGGGAAAACTGCAGGTCCTCCGGCGCAGGGGGAGACACCTTGACATCGCAGAGAGGAACTGCTGCACTAAAGTGGGCAGTGCTCTCAGACCTTTAAAGGTGAGTCTACATAATGAAATTGGGTCCATTTAACAGAAGTGAATTCTATTTCTTATATGAACTGTATTTTATTGTCTGCACATGAATATTGGATGGACTTTATGTGTTGTTGCCTTGTTTTAATTGGCACTGTTGTTTTATTGATCAGAGGTAGGTTAAGGCTGCACAATAAACCAAAGCTAATTTTGTGTTTCTTCACTATAGTTGTGTAATTTAAGGATTCATGTTAATGCCGTTGATCGTTTTTCGCCAACTTCAAAATCTTCCTCCTTAACTTCTTCTTTGTGCTCAAGTTCTAACCTGGACTGCTCTAGATTTACTTTTAGTTCTACTTTACACAACCGCATATTTACACGATTCCCACGGGTAGTCTCTTCACCTAATTTACTCTGAAGTCTCTCATTGAGTCTCACATTTCACAGGCGAGATCTCATGGTTCCCCTGGGATCATCCAAAACAACTTTTTTGGGTTGGGCCAACCCATACTTGGACCTTTTATAAATGCAATTTGAATATCATTGTGCCCATATTTAAAAGTTGCAAAAGGGGGTGGGATAGGAGCTGGTTTATAACAACACTTGCTTTAAAGTTAAAAAGCAGTACTACCTTCATATCTATATCTACTGGCCTAGTCCAGGCAAAAATCCTTTCAGCATATTTCATATTGATCAAGTTTATACTGATATTTTATACAGACTTCCTGCTTTAGCTGTTAAATTAGTATACAAAGGGTATTGGGACGACATGCTATTTTAATGACTCACCACACAACACCCAGCGCTCATTCACATTTTGGTGCATTGCAACTATCTGAGCAGAATAGCATGCGTTCTTTTTGTCCGTTCATACATGAAGTAAAGGCATTGCAAAGCCAAACTATTCATTTTGAAACTATTTTTGTGATTTATCTGTGTTATGGACAGGAACAATTCTAACATCATGCTCCTGGTTCACATTTTCCTCCCACTGCTATTCATTTTCCAGTATTTGACTGCACTGCATGTATGCACAAACATTTTAAACCAGTGTCTGTAACAGTTTGTCTTTAACCGAGGGGTTGCTGCTAATGACAGTCCCCAGACCCAAATTTGAACAGTAATGAGTTGGGAGATTTATTTACTGTATACTCAGGCACTGGTGTAGAGTGATAAGCCAAATGATTGGGATTTCTCCAGAGCAGTTGCACCACCATTCCTCCGACACATGCTGTCCTTTTCATATCAACTCTGGTGGTGGGCGAAAATGACTTCTTGAACATGCAGATATCTACAGTTCAAAACAGCTTGGACCCCAGAAAAATAGCTACTGTGTTTTGGATGGGATCATAACAAAATGTCATTTTTCATAAATCATAGCTTTCGTCTTTGCATTTTCCTATTTAATAGCCAAACTGTTTTTGCATGACAAAGATATCTCTTCTTTTTGCATTTGTTTTTTTGGATTAAGAAGATGATGCCAGTTTAATCAGTACATTTAATTACTATATTTTCCTTTGTCTAGCCAAATTACTTTTTAAATTGTGTTTATATCAAGGCAATATTCAAATTAAAACAAAGTGTGTGTTGATTATCCGTTCTTTGATTGTAATTGATGCTTAACTACAATCATTAAGGAATGTTTGTTCTTAGCTAATTTGTTTGAAAGATAGTTTTTTTATTATAATCTCTTTAGACATTGTGAAACATATATTTTAAGTGTACTATATATTCAGCTCACCTGTTTTTAAGTTCCCTATGGCTGGTACAGGATCAAATATAATGTATTTTAGCTATGAAGCCCCCCCCTGAAGGTGAGCAGTTGACGGGCTTTATTGCCTTTTTGGCTGCCACCCACCTTGTGCCTCCCTGGTGTCCCCCTCCCTGCTCTGTGTGGACCGTGCCATTGCCCCCCCAACCCCCCGTCCCTTCAGGCAGCAGTGCCAAACTGTGCCATATGGTCTCTCCTTGACAAAAGACATGGTAGAAAGGTTATATTTGCTGACCCTGTAGATGCCTTTGTAAACATACCTCTTCCCTGTTCCTTTGTTGGGGGAACATAATCACTGCTGTAATGGATTGTTTTTTTTTGTTTTTTCTGCAGATAACGCTGGGCATTTTCTTTATTCTGGTTGCACTGCTGTTCACTGTTGCCCTGTTCATTTCAAAGTAAGTCATAACACAAACATTCAAAAAGGGCAGTACGGCACAAAATCAACCAACATTTTTCTGTTCTCCTATGTGTAACACTGGACCTAAGTACACGTGTTTAAGTATTTCCGTGTGTTTCAGTTTGGATAAAGCTCTCCACTCTGCTGGCATCAGCTCTGGGTTCATAATCTTTGGCACCAACATCACCAATCCTCTGAATGAACTACTATTAGTATTACAGCCGGTGAGTATCCTCTCATCTGTCATGTCACAAAGATGATTATCCTCAATTAAGATGTGCTTAAAAACCTATTTTTTTGTTTCCATCATCATCTTCCTCAATTAAGCATAATTCCAAAAGTTCAAAATTGTATTTGCTTTAATGTAGCGCAGGTGATCTTTTAAAATAACAAAATCTCAACAGCAAAAGCGGCTCCATACACTCAATGAGTCATATGGCTTTATGAAACAATTAGCAGTTTGTCACTCCTAAATATGCTCTTACAATCACCACTTAGTCCAACAATCATAAGGTAGCAACATTACAGACAGGGAAATGATACCCATATTAACTCACGTTATTTTGAATTGATATCAGAATGCAAAATCAATAGTAATATTCCACGGGAGGAAGGCTGAGGGAAATGAAAACACAATTAACACAGCTATAAGTGGGAGCATGGTAAATGTTAAATGGCAGCGATAGAGAGATAGCAGGATAGTTACTACAGAAAGACTGTTTTCATAAACAAGCTGTTGTTCTGATTCTGAAACCACTTATTCACAGTGATGCAGACGTTAGTATTTAAAAAACCTATTGTCATTGTAACTTCCACGAAGTATACAAATAATAGTAAAACCCTACAGTACAATACAGTGTTATTCAACAACCTTGCCTCCTTATATTTTATAAATAATAATGATCATGACATACTTTGCCTAACATCACCAGGCTGTCTGTAGAGCACCCAACGCCATGGTGGGTTTAAGGCTGAACCGGGTTTTATTTTTAGGGCAGAATTGCTTTATGATTGATTTGTTTGAACTAATCTAAAACCACTGTGCGCTTTGCAGTCAAAGGGTCAATCAATAAAGTTTCATCATTTACATTTCTCTGTAAACCACAATTGGAAACATAGGAAATAAAAGGTGTAAAAGTATAGTGGAGTATAACAAAGATGAATGTAAATAAGGTACAAAAAAAATCTTTGCATCGCCCATAATTATTCTGTTTTGCCATTTACAATATTTATGTAATTTTCATTAAATGATATGTACGGCCTCAACGTTTTGCATGGATGTCTGATGAATGAACCACAATGTATTCCTTCGCTTTTCTTGACTGTTGTGTTGTGTTCTCTCCAGTTAAATGTTATAATCATGTCTATTTCTCTATAAAGTTTTGATTTTAGCATTGCCTTAGAGTTTTTAAAATGTGAACTTTTGAGACAACATTACATCAGGACCTTTTCTTCTTTCCTCCTGGTCTGCTGCAAGACATCGGACGCTCTGTTAAACTTAGTATTCCACTGCCGAGTTTAGAGGAAAAATTGACTGACAGCTCAGACATTAAAGAATGGCCTCATAGATAGTGGCATTGATTAAATGTCTACGGCCAGTGTTTAGAAGTATGACCTTGATATCTAAGAAATTAAGTGCCCCATACCAAGAAGAATGGAAAACTGCATAGGGATCAGGTTTGAGGTTACATCAGAACATGAGAGAACATAATTGATGTAATACTCACACGCACTGTGCTAATTCTAAGGTTAGGTCAAATAACCAACAGGTGCTTTGACCAGCTCGATGTGCTTTAGACTAATTCGCCTGGAGCAAGTGTAATTGATGTAAGTTGCTCTTTAACAGCTCCAAGCGTCCCTGAGAGGAAACCAGCCATTAACAGCAATAATGTTTACTTTGTGAGTGTATGTGTGAGAGATATAGCTGACCTTCTGTCCTTGTGGTCATAGGTTTTTCCGCTGGACTACATCCTGATCACAGTCATCACCATGTACTTTGTAGTAACCTCCATGGCTGGCATTCGCAACATGGGCATCTGGTTCTTCTGGATAAGGGTAAGCAAAGGCCTTATTGTGTATTAGCCTATAAACATACCACGATATCAACATTAACAATTATGTTCTTGTTTTTCAGCTGTACAAAATCCGACCCAAGAAAACTCGCCCCCAGGCTCTCCTCTTCCTCTGTATGATTCTTCTCTTGATCGTCCTTCACACCAGCTACATGATCTACAGCCTGGCCCCTCAGTACGTCATGTATGGCAGCCAGAAATATCTCGTACAGGTGAGCAAAAGTGAAGTCAATTCCCCTTATTTATGGTTTTTTTAGTGTCATCAATAATTGCCAACTCTGAGGACGGGGCTCTAGCGATGTCAGTGTCGGTCAGTCGGCGGGTTCAAACCACTTTGATCCAGCAGCATGGTCTCTACAGGCTGGTAGCAGGGCTTTCAGACTCTTGTTCTTCTTGTGTTTTGTCTGTCTGTGTTAGGATACTGGGCTCTTACTGTGTGGATCTGTAGAACGAAAGTATAGCCTCTGTGTGAACTGATGTCGCTCTGCATTCTCTGTGTGGGTGTGTTTGCATGTGCTTTAGATCCACCCTTGTGTGTCTCAAAAATCCTTTAGACAACATAATTAAAAGGAACCACAGTGTTGTTTTTGCTGAAACAAACTCTTTTTAAATGAGAGAAAAACCTTTTCTGTATGACTCAAATAAACACGCCTTTTCTGCTGCTGTCTTTTTACCTACAGTATCTGAATACATTATGCATCATTTTCTACCAGTCAAGCTTGTACAATGTTGCTTGTATGCAGTGGAAAATAAGAATTGTGCACAGGGAGATTTTTTTAATTAACTTTTAGGTTATCTTTATCATGTGATGTCCTCTTTAAAGTACATCCTAATTAACAGTTTATAGTTAAATGTAAACTTAAAGGCTTATTTTCCTCTGTTAGATCTCAATTAGATAGACAGATAGATAGTTAGATAGATAGATAGTTAGATAGTTAGATAGATAGATAGATAGTTAGATAGTTAGATAGTTAGATAGATAGATAGATAGATAGATAGATAGTTAGATAGATAGTTAGATAGATAGTTAGATAGATAGATAGTTAGATAGTTAGATAGATAGATAGATAGATAGATAGATAGATAGTTAGATAGATAGTTAGATAGATAGATAGTTAGATAGATAGTTAGATAGATAGTTAGATATATAGATAGATAGATAGATAGATAGATAGATAGACAGACAGACAGATAGATAGATAGATAGATAGATAGTTAGATAGATAGATAGATAGTTAGATAGATAGATAGTTAGATAGATAGATAGATAGATAGTTAGATAGATAGTTAGATAGATAGTTAGATAGATAGATAGTTAGATAGATAGATAGTTAGATAGATAGATAGATAGATAGTTAGATAGATAGTTAGATAGATAGTTAGATAGATAGATAGTTAGATAGTTAGATAGATAGATAGTTAGATAGATAGTTAGATAGATAGATAGATAAGTACTTTATTGATCCCAATTTGGGAAATGTTTGTGTTGTGCAGCATAAAAAACAAGGCAATGTACATAAGAGAAATCAAGACAATAGAAATAAACAGTCCAAACATATTTCTGAAATAAAATAGCATTAAAAAGCTAAAAAATATACATGTGGAAAATATACATGTGGAAATACACATTTCCAGTAACAAATATAATGCAGGGTATTACTGTATATATTACTGCTGGGGGGGCAGCATCAGAGCCGGTGACACCTGCAGGATCAATAAACTGATCAGGAAAGCTGGGTCAGTCATCGGCATCAAGCTGGAACCCTTTGAAGCTGTGGTGGAGAGGAGGACACTGAACAGGCTGTTGTCCATCATGGATAACCCCACCCATCCTCTCCACCTGCAGCTGGACAGTCAACGGAGCTCCTTCTCCAACAGACTGCTGCAGCTCCCCTGTCTCAAGGACAGATACTGGAAAACATTCCTGCCCACTGCAATAACACTGTACAACAAATCACCTCTGGCTGGAAGAGAACTCTCTGCTCCATAGTTTCTCTAGAAATAAAACCACCTTGTACATTTTACTCACACATAATCTGTTTCATATTTAATACTCCATAATTCCATATATTTTGAATATATATATATTTGTATATTTGTATATATATATATATATATATATATATATATAATATCTGTATGTATATTTTCTATTTTGTATTTTGACATGTATATTTTATATTTTATTTTATATTTTATTTTATTTTATTTCTATTCTTGTATATTTTGTTTTATTGTAAAATGCCTTTTATGCTGCTGTAACAAAAACAATTTCCCAATTTGGGATCAATAAAGTACGATCTATCTATCTATCTATCTATATATATTAATTGTGCAAGAAATTGATTATTCAATATTAAATTGAATATAAATGTAAAATTAATGGTGGTTTTCTGTTATTATCTCATTCTTTAATTTATGTTGTGTATTATTGTAGTGTTATAGACTTGAAGATATTATACTTTTGACGCTTCTTTCAAAGCAACAATATGTTAGTACGGCATCAAGTAGTTGGAAGTGATTCTTTTCTAAACAGGTTGATGCCTCCTGTGTTTTTTCACAGATGCCGTCAGCAGGTCCTGCATCAGGGAACAGCACCACAAGGATCTGTGATGCTGATGCGCCTGAGGGTAAGTGTGTCATCACTGCTAGCACAGCAAGGTAGCGTGGCCCAACAGTAAGATGTTGGAAGAACTTACAACACAGCATCAAAGATTTATCGCTCACAAGTCAAGTCTATACCAGAAGAAGCAAAGGACAGTGTTCAACCCGGCCTCTCCGTGTAGAACACAGCTCAGTTGTCTTAATACCATTCATTATTCAGAAGAGGGAATAATACCAAGGACAAACATTTACTAATGCTGTACTCCTGCCGTCTCCATGCCAACGCTTATTAGAGTAAATCAGCCATGAAAAAGATGAATGTGTGAATGTACATCCTACCAGTTAGCTTTATCACAATCATTTATTAATTTGCCCGAAAGCTGAAATAAGGCTCTTGTCAGTGCGGGAGCTGATAAGTGTGAATTGCCATATTCGGTTATAAAGCCAGAGATAGTTTTAATTTGTCTGTGTGGCAGTCTGTCTGTCAAAAAATGTAATGAATAGAATCACTTTGACTTATAAGTCCAGCCTATGATATCAATTATTCGTGCATAAATTGTTGCACCTTGGTAAACCTGTCACATATAACCCCCCCCCCCCCATCAGTTTACCCCAGTCCCCACTCTATCTTCAACCTGTTAGAGTGTTTTGACTGTTTTGCATGTTTGTTTTTGTAAGGGAGGTCTATTAGCGTGGGGAGTCATTCTTTTTTCATTTCAATGAAACTAGGTGTGGGTCCATAAGTCCCAGAAGACACGTAAATGCATTGCAATTAGAGTAGCTAATGAGTGATGATGGGTTTAAATGTCAAATATTTAATCCATATTTTGAGTAAAGGTCACATTAAAACCGTTAAATAAAAGTGGTGGATTCTCACAAATATGAAGCATATATGATATTTCCTATATACTTATTTTGGCTGTACCAGCCCTTAAGTATTGTATAACAGTTATATATTTGTGTAAATAAATATTGTTTGGTCATTTTACGAATACTTTCCTTCTCCGGACTCTTACGTTTTGATTAAGTTTCCATTTTATTTGTTTACATACAGGTTTTAGTTTTGTTCTACTGTAAGCTAAAAGCAACAGCTGGCAAATCCCGCCAGTCATTCATTTATTGCTGAAGAGTTCCCCTTAAAGATGTTTCCTCTAATAGCTCCCATTAACATTAAGAGAAGGATGTGAGTGTTGGTTGGCAGAACTGCTTAAAAAACGTTTTACCAAATATGCCATTAGCCTATAGCCGTCTTACATTTCAAATTGATGTTAAATCGCCGGACTGTTTAAAAGTTGTTGCTGCTGCTCGTATTAGTTATAGTGAAGTTAAAGTTATAGGAAGTAGTGGCGTACTGATGCTGCTGCATTTGTTCACAAGTCTTCAAGGCTAAAAAATACTTCATACGGAATAGATTGAACTGAATCTACCTCAATTCAGAACACTGTAATGCATATTCAAAGCCACATTGTATGACATGCCATTTGTTAGTGGGTACAAGGTTCTTCCCTTTAGAAGTGTGGATACATTTCTTTAAAAAGAAAATGAATTTCTGCGGCACCTTAAAAAACCTTGCTCGTCTAAAAAACACATAATATGCTGCATATAACTAATGCTGCATATAACTAATGCTGCATATAACTAATGTTGTATAACTAATGCTGCATATAACTAATGTTGCATATAACTAATGTTGTATAACTAATGCTGCATATAACTAATGCTGCATATAACTAATGCTGCATATAACTAATGTTGTATAACTAATGCTGCATATAACTAATGTTGTATAACTAATGCTGCATATAACTAATGCTGCATATAACTAATGTTGCATATAACTAATGCTGCATATAACTAATGTTGCATATAACTAATGTTGCATATAACTAATGTTGCATATAACTAATGTTGCATATAACTAATGCTGCATATAACTAATGCTGCATATAACTAATGTTGCATATAACTAATGTTGCATATAACTAATGCTGCATATAACTAATGTTGCATATAACTAATGTTGCATATAACTAATGTTGCATATAACTAATGCTGCATATAACTAATGCTGCATATAACTAATGTTGCATATAACTAATGTTGCATATAACTAATGCTGTTGATATATTGTGATTTTAAGGGTGTCTATTATCATCTGGACAACAGCTGGAAATTAGCCATGTTGGCTAAAGCTCCATTTACTGTTTTTTGTGACAGTTGATCAATGGGGACTGTCCTCGACACTATAAACAAATAAACTAAACTAAATAGGAATAACTTGAGACAATTAACTAAACTACAGACAAAACGAAGAAAGAACCAGAAGCCATTAGCATGTTTTCTTGGTCTTTCAAAAGAGGCTGTAATGAATGGTTGGCGACGATATCAGGGTTATACAACATGGAGTTGCTAATGGACTAATGTATTTGGCATTTGGAAGAAGCTTACCTCTTTGGGCCAAGTTCTCATGAATATATGGCACCTTTCACAAAAGGTGGTCGTCGCTATTCCAAGGCTAGACGGTATTTAGTTTTAAATGAATGTTTCTTTCAAATCAAAACATTTGGCACTACGTTGCCCTTAAACTGAGGATAATTTTCCCATCTAGACAATAGACAACTCGTATAATTATATATAATAACAACTTCGACTAAAACTATAAAGGAAATTCAAATAAAATACTTTTTGTTGCCAAATTCATACATACATTTGCTTTCAATTAATCCAGCTATGTTTACTTGGTACACTAATGCCAAAGCTGCCAACATACATTAATTACAGAAATGACAATCCCCCATAATGCTCTTGTTTACATCACTATTCACACAGAATTGTGGAAATGGATTGATTTGGGTGTTTGTGATTCTCAAACAAATAATTTGTTTCCCGTCCCACAACGATTACAAACCAACCCGACAGATTCATCCATGATTCTGCACCGCTCCGTCGTGTTGTTTATTGCTCTCCGGAAGTTGTATTGTAGAGTATTTCACTAGAAGAGAAGCCAAAAAAGCTGTAAAGGTTGAGCTAGATTAAGAAAATTAAAACAATTATAATAATATGTTTTTGTTGGCACCACAGGATGCTCAATTAGTAAGAACATAAGTTTGTTTTTTTCCCAAGCAGTGTTAATTACTGAGAGCACATGTCAAAGTATTGTGGAGTCAAGGTTGCCAGGATCCCTCGGGCAATGGCCACAAGTATTTCTGCTCTCTCTTTGGACCAGTTTAGGAAAAAGGTTCATATTTTTGCCATCTTGGAAATGGCTCCTGCTTTCATAACAGCCGTTGCACCTCCTACCATGAGGAGGAGGAAGTGTCATGCAGAGACAACACATGCGACTGCAAGGGAATATAATCAGAAGCTTACCGATTCATACACTGTAGAAAGTAACAGGTGAAATATTTCATTCCTGCAACTCTTTCTTACATAAAGTAGAGAGTACCTCATCATGCTGTGGTAAAATTCGTTTTGTATTTAAAAGGCACGGAGAGGGATTAAGGGGCGAAGACTTAATGGCTATGTGCCAGTCAGTCCATTCATCTCATCTGAATGTCTATCAATAATCTGTGCTCTTTAAATAATTTATACTTAAATTCCTGTTTGCATGGCCCATTATTAAGGACATAAACTGATGCTGTTCCACTGATAGGAAAAAGGCATTTACGTGGTTCAATGCAGGTTGTACATTTTATCATAAAATAATGTACAATACAAAATACATAGAGTACAGTATGTACAGTATGGTCACATACCTTACTGTACAAAAACCTTACCCTATAATACCTACATTCAGATTCTCTAATCCTTATGTTGAAATCTGTAACATAATGTATTATAATATTCAAATTCGGTTTCCTTGTATTCATCTTTTGCTATTTTAAATGTAGAGCCATAACAGCAAAGCATTTGTAAAAATAGAAATAGTATACTCCATGCCATGCTTCCTCTCCTGTGAGATTCTTTTTTTGTATTTGGCATGACCAAGAGATTCACAAACTTAGATATGCATTGACACATTGCTGTAGATGTTAAAAATAAGAATGGGTAGAAAATGGCCTCAGATTGAGAAGAGGCTCTGGAGAGCATCACTTTGTAATAATGGCACTGGATCAAACCACAGCTAAGGCAAAAGAGGGTATAAGTCAAGCTGCTGACTGATTGGCCGGTTGGTCACAGTGATGTAATGACGCCAACATATTGATGAGCAGGTGCTCGCTGCCAAGCTCTCCATTATCTTCTCTAAGGTCATTACCACACCATTACTCATTTGGAGTATGTACTCAAATGGAAATGAATCCTTAGGAATTAGTTGCTATGGCTCCAGACAACCTGAACTTTGATGTCTACTATGTGATTTAACACGGGGTATAAAACGGATTTTAAGCAAAAGAAGAATCGGAGTATCGGCACAGTAGTGATACTGCTTTCCTCCTTATTTAATCAACTGTTAATTCCAGACAGGGAAAAGTTCAATCTTAATCCATTCATTTTATATCCACTCATTTGCACTCGTGCCATTGACACAAACTTCAACCCATGCTGCACTTAGTCCAAATGTGGTTTTAGTGTAGTAAATCACTTTATTTCAAGTCATTTTTATTAATGAATCCCCAAAAGATGTATGTCTTCGTGGAGTCTTGCTGAAAACTTCCCAGCATTAGACAAGGCTGCTCTTTCAAATGATTCTTTCTGCCATGACGCTCCCGCTGCTTCTCATGGTGGGCGAAGCGCTTTGATCGCAGACTGTGACTGGCATCAAAGTTCTTCAACATCTACCATCTTACATACTTGTACTTGATGATTTCCATTTATGTTGTATTTTCTTTGGCTGCAAATGATCTTATTTTAAAGTTGAGGATTTTTCAATGTTAATGGGCCATTACCAATTTAAAGAAGTTCTAATGTCAGTAATTGATGCATTTGATTTTACATCATTATGACCACTTTCATTATAGATTTATCTGTCTTTATGTCCATTTCTAATGATCACATGATATGTCTCTGACTAATGATTTGAATGACATTCTGTCTACCACTCCTGACAAAATGTCTTCCCAAAACACAACAATTATCTTAGGTCTATTGTGTTATACTCTTTAATAAACCCTGTGCATCTTGTTTACATTAAAAGGCACATTTTAAAACCTGAGTATGTCAACAACAACTTAATTCCTAATGGAATAGCGGCTCCGATACTTTGCAGCAGAGTTTATTTCACCCTTCATATCAATAGATCCAACCACATGTTTTTGTTTTTGACACAGTAACTCAATTTACCAAGAAATGCCCTCTGGGTCATCGTTCCACTTTTCTTGCTAATGATTTTCTTGCTCTTTTCCACCATTAAGGTCGACACTCTCAGTTACACAATTATAATTATTGTGGTATTCGACCCCTCACGCCCGAGCCATTCTCTAAATGTCTCGCTGGAAGTTTAAGCTGAATTTTAACTATGCTGAAGTCCAGTTTTCAGCTTAGAAGATATATCACATTATTTCTAGTTTGAATCCCAGTGAAGAAACTTTCTAATAAAGAGGAGTTTTTTTTTTTTTTACACTGCAGACTGCTGCTGGTTTCCTAGCAACTTGCCAGTTTCCGCTGCGCAGTTTGAAAGAGCTTCAGGGGGAAGATGGACATAATTGTATGTGTTGCCTCTGAGATGTCAGGTGCCTAAGCAATTTCAACAGGAGGCTCCCTGAACCCCAACACAAATTAATAGTAATTTTCTTTGTATCGAGGGGATCATCATCAATTTGGATTACAATGGAATGTGTCAATCAAAAGCTATTCTCGTTAAGGAAAAATGTCCATCTTGTAATCCACAGACACCCCTTACCTTTTGAAGTAAAATACACTTTCAAATCAAATCTGTTTGATTAGCATTCTGACAAAAGACCTCTACTGTGAACTGATAGAATAAAAACACTTTCTGAACAGGGCTACAAATAAGGTGTCATTAAAATGATACTCTTTGCCGAAAGCTGCTCTAATTGGTATTTTTCAAGTTTTTACCTTGAAAAAAAACCTCTGAAAAACCCACTACCTGCCAAGTACAAAACAGCAAATAGAAAACCTTAGGGAGCAGCTGGTACACATAGTGGTGCTTGTGACGTAAAGGTCCATGTATTTCCCTCAGGAGATGGTGGAGACCAACAATTAGATAAAAATGGAGTGAATATTTGAAACTTCTAAATAATGAAACGGTTGTTGGCAAGTTGTGTGATTGGCTGAACTCAAATTGTGTTGGAGATATATCTCTATGCATATTGTGAATAGCAATTATTATCTTAGTTTGTTTATGTTGGTGAGTGGTTTAAATAAGGTTATGTGTACATTTATTGCCATCTCTGTCTTATAAGGATGTCTTACTTAAATAGATTTCGCTGCAAGTTAGAACAAGCAAAAATGTGCTTTTGTGTAAACTGTATTGACAATATGAGAAGCCAGCGATTTGAAAATAGTTCAGTGGAAGGAACATCAACATCCTCAAAGGACATTGCGATGAAAGTGCTCTATTGCTTTTAAGGCGGAGAGAAAGTAAAAGCATACAGTGTAGGAACACAAGGCCTTGCTGATAGACCCTTTCACAAAGCGTGTGTGAGTGAGTGTGTTCAGGGTTTTCTGTTTGTATTTGAATGAGATGAAAGTTATACATTATGCATCATGCTACACAGGGCAGCACTCACCCAGGTATCATGAGTCACCGTGCCCGTGCTCTTATCGGAGAAACGGTAATGATTTCAAGGTGAAGTGGGTCAGTGGTGTACATGATCATATATTTAGGCAGACCACTGTTGTGAACCATCTGTAGGTCCCACTCGGAGCCCTGCAATTGAGGCGAGCAGCTGGAGAGCTACAGATGGCTGAGGTACCAGAGGAAAAGAGAGGGGGGTCATGGGGATGCAGCTAGACTAGCTTCTTCTATTATGTGTTGATCTTGGTGGAGTACGAGCTGATTGTTGGTACACCCTCAGCTGCTGTGACTATGTCATTTGCTCTAATGATGAACACTCTGAAGAGGAACACTTGTGAAAATGCTCACTTTAATGGGTCATTCCTAAAGCACACTGAGGTCTGATTGTACTGCTCATGGGGTTCAAGGCAGTGTGAAGAGCTGTGGAAGGAACAGTGTGATAGGAGCAGCTCAGCAGGGTTAGCGTTAATGCTCCAGATGGCTCTCGAACATAGCCAGACAGAGCGTTTCGTCTCCACTTGTGCTGTTGAAATAATACAAGTCTGATTAGGAGTATATTGAAGTCACTTTCTCCTTTTGTTGCTTCAGTGTACATGGTAAGTTAATTAATACAAGTGATCTGAAGGCAAGTCGGGTTTTTTTTTTCCACCGCTTCCTTTTTCTCCCTGTGTTTTCACACAAAAACAATTGGAGCACAGACGAATGCATATCATTGGCTCTTGCCGCACTTGACGTCATCAGCATTTCCCATTCCTGCCAATACCCATGCATGCACATAAAGGGGAATGACTCAGCTTAAGAATTCTTAAATGATTCCTGCCGTATATGCCAGACAGATCAATAGCAGGATCAAGTTCTGTTAAAAACTGGAGGGCTGAGACTCAAAGGGAATAAAGTGAGAATAAAGCACAAAGCGGCTCCACAGACACAGAAAGCTATTTTTTTTTTTTTTCATAAGAAATAAACAAGTTTTTGGTTTTGATGTGTTTATATTTATGATCACCGAGCCTAGTCAATATTGATTGAACTGTTCTTGGTAATAGCACATTTCAGAGTAAAGGCTTGTTTATCTCGACCAAGGCTGGTTTCAGAGGTGCACCCAGAAAAATGGCTTAGAACTTCCTGTCAGGTTCAAATTGGTTTATGAAATAGATGTAACTTATTACATTCACTTTCAAACAAATGTTACTTTGGTGAATAAGTGAGTTAGTTTCTGCTTGGTAAACAAGGTTAGCTTGCTGAGAAAGCTTTTCATACTTCTTGCTAGGGAACCTTTCCATTTACTGTATGGCAAGGACATCACAGGTAAACTGAAGTGTTGTCTGGACTGGTTTATTCATGATTGTTGCTGCACTTAGTTGTTGGATATGAAGGGCGCATCCAAACAGCTTCAGCAAGACCTCAATCAGCATGTAGTCCTAATGAAAAGGGAACAATAAGACATCCTTCACATATTTTGAACTTAGATTGAGCCCAACGTATACAACAATACGATTTTTTTATTTTTGTTATAGCTTATTGAATATTTAACATCCTGACTATTGAGATCTCTTGTAAATGTAGTTCGGCTAGCTGTCTAATTTAATAGGGCTTTTATATTGATGTTGTCATATGAGACTTGATATCAACTTATATTGTGTATATTGTTATATAGTAAGTGTCTTTTCCTGATTTTCAAGGCTGCATTACAGCAAAATGCTCACATTTTCTACACAATTCTAATATAAACTTTGATCTGCTTGGTCAACAAATCCACATAATTGATGAATATTTCTCAAAGATCTTATTATGTGAATATTCTGCGAAAGCTTCAATGGTCGGCCCTATGATATTGTAAAGAATATGGATATGAAGGTATTTGGTCAAACATAGATAATAGATTGTTTTCACTTCGCCCAGCCCTATGATAGATGCTGTTTCACCCTAAAGAGGACACTATAGCAAGTATGTCTTCAATTCCATTTCACATAATAATCTTGAGAGTTTGAGAGGGTCCCAAATTCATTTTAATCCCCTCTCCGAGAATCGGGGTTTCATGCATAACCCATAACCTATGTTGGTGTCTCCTCGCGTGTCACGCTTTTACCTCTGCAATGTGTAATACTGGTTATTTTTGATGCAAGGCTCCATTAAATGTTAGATCATCCCTGTGTTATCGACTGGTTAAGTCACATTCACATTGACAGTGACATGGATTTCCTCTTTTCAGCAGACCGGTTGTCTTCTTTAGTTATAGTGACACATCTGCCCGAGGCACTGCTCCATAGTAATAGCAGCCTGTTTTTGGCTCTTAAGTGACTGAAGAGCCATTTATAACAAAGATGTATAACAAGAACTACACTTGTGCATTTATAAACCCCATCTAGCAATATATGTCACCTTTTATTGCACTCATGCTGTTTTTCCGGAACCGGTTACCTCTCATATTTCTCTAAAGACAAAAACCCTGTTTCCTCGGGCTGTCCGTCTGTCTTCGTCCTGTCGTCACTCTTCCTCTACCTGTGCCAACCATCAGTCACTCTGTAGAAGAAATCTATTTTGTGCTTCTCTCTGCAACGATTCCCTCTACTTCCTTCAAGGGTTTCTGTATCAATTAATCAAAACTAGAAAAAGGCTGAGGTTGTCAAGGTGTGATATAGCAAACTTTTAAATAAAATATTTTCATTTTAAAGAGGATGGGATTCTTGGCTAAGACTGACCTTTTGAACAGCTCAGTTTTTACAATTTAAAAATAACAGTTATATCTGTTTTATAAGAATGCAAATTCTGATGAGCTGAGAATCGTTGATTTAAAATGTAACTTCACTCATAAGAAATTGCTGAAGGTTTTGGCAATATCGCAGCCTTCTTCAGGAATGGCAAAGAAACTTAAACTTGAGTTTTTGATATGTGTTTATACGGACATGAATGAACCTATATTATTTTAAATTCAGATTTGTGGGTAGGACAGTCACATTGTATCGTTGTAAAACCGTTTTTTCATCTGTTTATATTAAATGAACAAATTAAGCTTTTTGTTTTTATTTTGTAAACCAATAAACATATTGGCCAAACTTTAGTTACCTATTTATTTTTTAGATACATATAAGGTATTTCCATTGGTGTTCATTGGCTTCATGCAGAAATGTTACACCAGAAAAACAGGTGGAAACTCATTTCTTTACCACTTAATTGAACATTTTCCCTATTTAAATATATTCTGTTAGAATATCTGTGTTTAACAATCCGGGAACCCTTTGTTGAATACAAGTCAAAAGCTGTTGTTGTATAGATGAAATGATTGAATGCTCCTGTTTTCTCCGTCCCTTTCAGACCAGTGCACTGTGACAAGATCATATCTGTTCCTCCATAAGTTCTGGTTCTTCAGCACCATCTACTACTTTGGTAACTGGGCCTTTATCGGGGTAAGTCCAAGGATGTATACACAATGTCATCTCTTTGATTTCAAGTTGAGTGGGAATCATAGTTGAATGTTCTTATTTTTTTTTTATTGAGGGGAGAGAAATCTCAGACAATATCTCTTAGATATTAAACATATTGACATTATTGTTTTTTTATCTTTTGAGCAACTAAACATTTACAAAAACAAGATCTATTAAAGAATGTAATTGAGTTTAAAAGCGGTTAAACAGTATTTTCTTCAGGGGGAACAGTGTGAGAGCCCAAGCACATCATTTAATTTCTTCTCAGGAAAAAAGGTTACTGAAAAATGATTTTCTGCGCGCAGCTAATCTCCTCAGCAAAATATGTAATAGCCTCTCTCCTGGTGCTGTTGATGCATTCTATTGATCAAATGATCCTCATGAAATATTTCCTGTGTGCTCTCCTTTGCTGTATATATTTTTAGGCTTTCCTCTTCGGTCTGGTGGTGTCGTGCTGCAGAGGGAAGAAGTCTGTGATCGAAGGAGAGGTGGAGGCCGACGACTCGGACTTCAGTGATGATGAATATGTGCACTAATAATCAGTCGATATTCCCCACATAACTTAAAAGGGACTAGAAAGTGCAATTATGTCAGTGATGTATCTAGTCTGAGTTGACTCATCCCTCCCCTACATGAGACTACTGGTACTGATGATTGTGTCTTATTTGGTGAATTTTAATAATAACTTTGGGATTCTGGGAGTGCCCTCCAACTTAGTCCTACCTTGAGAATTCACTTGACTTGAACACTGACACGCATGTTTAAGCTTTATTTGAAACTTTTATTTTAACTAACTTTTTACCTTCTCTTAGCACTTTCTAGGCCCTTTAAATGGTTACTTTTTGACCACCTTACCCCTCACCCACCTTTAGTTGGCTCTAATATACCTTTTAAGACAGAACACATTTAAACATCCACAAATTGTTCTGTGAGATTGTTTTTTTGCAAAGTCAAAATAAAATCATTCTAGGTGTTGACAGAAGTAACATTCAAGCTTTGTTTTGCTTGTTTTGTCTGAGGTTAAATACAGTGCTAGATGGTTTGCTGTTTCTTTTTCTCCGCATTTAGTCATTTGCTATCTCAGACCATTATTTGGACGAACGTTACTGTACCTGTACCTGCACTTTGTGAAATGTAAAGGACCATTCGCAAAAGATTTGAGTTATTCTTGAATTCTTTATTTTGAATGGAATTGGTTCAACAGCTTTTTGCTGCCTGTGTTGAAAGAACATGAGGAAAGTGTGAAGACTAAATTGAAACAGAATAATCTAATATGGATGTGATTTTATTTTAATTACAGAGTACTTTCTTTCAGAGATAATCAACAGCAGGCTTGTGTGAACTATTAATGGCTTTTTATCAGCTATTTGTGTATTTAGAAGTGTGAAGATGAATAAATACAGTTTAATTAACAAATGATCTGAACATATTTATATGGAAACCAAATACTTGTGCCTCGTGAATGTATAGCAACATGATGGGCACACACTGCTGTACGTGCACGTGCTACTTCTAGCCTGAATCTGATGAGTTTGGTTTTTGCTTTGAGGTGAAGTCTGTTTACCTGCAGTTAGAAATGTGGTTACATGATGACAAAAGCTGCACCACTTGTCGTTTTCGCCTGTGATAAGAATGCTCTTGTGTCAATATTGAATAAAACCATTTTAAAAACACTCTTTTCTTAAAAAGATAGTAGTCATTGAATGATAATATTGTTCTGTTTTTACATAGGAAATCAATGTTTCTATGTTTACTTCAAATGTGGTTTTAATCAAGTAGATCAAAACCAAATTTGATGTGCTCTAGAATTAGTTATTTATGTTGTAGTAATTGTTAGTGAGTTCTAAATTCAAAATGTCATTTAATTGGTTCAGAGTGATTTGGTAAAACACTTCTTATTTCTAATGGCTTACGTTTGAGCCCGACTTTTATTACTAGAACCAATATAATTAATTGCAACACAATAAAGGGAGCATCTTTCCAGATGGTGTCAAAACTGTCTGCTTTCCTTAAAGCAGATGTGCAGCGCTGCTTTATTCAAGTTTTCTCTAATTTATCTTCAGTAGTCATTGACTATAACAAGGAGTACATTACCACATAGCTCTATCAGTAATTCTGTGAGAGCATGTGTATTCTCCTGCTTTAAACTCAGGTTTTGACATTTTTAGAGGACTAAGGAAACGTATCAAATGAAACTGACAGTTAAATACAACCCCTCTGTAAATTAGCATAACTACTCAGTGGCTGTTTCGGATGGATTTGCATAAAATGTTGAGTGCATGTCAAATTAGAGTTTGGGGTATGCATACCTTGTCATAACTATTGTGCAAGCTTGCTTTGAGTTAAACCATTATGTGATATGCCACCCCCTCATACACTAATAAACCAAATAAGCCTTGAGCCAAAAACACAGAGCCCCAGAACTCTAGAAGAGAGGATTGTGTAATCAACGTGTCAGATCAGAGGGATTTTTGCTGTTCGGCGTGCAACCTACCTTGTCATACCCCTTATTCAAAAGCCAGACTTGTCTCATCGTTCTTTTCCTTCCTCTATCTCTTTTTAGGCATCGTTTGCAAGTTTGTTTGTGAAAAATGAACTTATTTTATTGAATAAATAAGGAAATATGTTCAGGAAAATGTAATATTTGCTGGGATATTTGAGGGCAATACATAACAGATTAATTTAGTGTTTTATTGTCAAACTGTCATAAGTGTATGGTCTTTGCTATTTGAAAGTTTTTATCCAAATTCTGTTTGTCATTCATGCTTTTGTGCACCACCTTTTCTTAATTTAATTTAACTCTTAATCAACTCTTTATATGTATGACGTTTGCAGTGACACCCTACAGCAGGGGTGTCAAACTCAATTTCATCGTGGGCCACATTAGCATTATGGTTGCACTCAAAGGGCCGGTTGTAACTATATAAATATACATATATAAATACATAATATATATGAAATAATGTATTATATTATATTATTGCCTCTGCATTGGATTTTTATTGGATAGGGTATAACTTCATAATTAACTGCGTCTGAAAGCAGGAGTCTAGGGCAAATAATTGCAAGTCTCTTCAGTGCGCATGTCACAAAATGAGATGCATTGTGGGACATATAGTTTATGGGCAACCTGCTTCTGTAAAATAAGATAAAATGGACCTTTATTAATCCCCGTGGGGAAATTCAGTAGTTTAACAGCAACAGGGTGAGATTGAAAAACAGGACAGCACAGATTCACACAGATTAATACAATTAAGGATAAATCAAAGATAAAAAAGAAAAGAAGATAAATAACTATAAAATAAGAAATTAATTAAAATGAACATATATAGATATACTGTAAAGTAGCATGTAACCGTATAATAAACGTATTATATTCTTTGCAAGCTCTTGCGGGCCACATAAAATGAAGTCGCGGGCCGGATTTGGCCCCCGGGCCTTGAGTTTGACACCCCTGCCCTACAGTATGATGTAAGCAGGTGAGATTTTAAAATAATGTTTCAGATCTTAAAAATAATTGTATTTCAAAAACAGATATATACCATTATACCTCTGTAGTCACTAGACCAAGAAAGTAATGGAATGTTAGACTCAATTTGGTTAGGTGCCAGTGTGTGTCACGCCTGGCCATCCAACTAATTATTAGTTAGACAATTGAAATAAAGTAAAACAGGTGTATTGCCTTGAGGATTTACAAATTCCAAAAAATTGATTATCCGACATCACAACTCCAAAAAACTAAACTAAAACAAATCAAAACTGTCCACTCTTTGGGCTTTTGACAAAGAGGAAAGTCAAGTTTATTTTTACTGAGGCAAACCCTGTTTTCATATAATGATTATTTGAAGTACAGTAATACTGAGAGGAATTAGGCTACAGAACAGAAGGCTTACAGCTTTTTCAGGGGCCTCTTTACCAATCATATTTCTGCTCCACAGGATGAAGGAACATAATTTATCGTCGTACAGTGCATGGTAAGTAGCCTACCTCCTGTGGAGTCCTACAAAGTTTCATTTCAGAACTTTTTATTTAAGGTCAACAATACTGGAAAGTGCAGTTCTAGTTTTATATTTAATTGTAGCTTTAGGCCACCTGGTGTGTCTGGGCCTTTACTCCTAACTCCCTGCAGTTGTTCTCCCTGTTGGATATGAATGTTTTGCTAGCCTATGAAAAAGCTCAAGAGACTGTTGTAACTTTTACAATTATACTGTCAGAGTTGAAAAAAAAAGAAGGATTTAGATAATTAATTCTCGATATGTTGAGTAAACCTTCATGCCAAATTAGCCTTAGCAACGGACAACTGTTAGCAAGATTTGCATCAGCCACGTTGTTAGCATGTAGACTATGTTGTTAGCATATAGACTATCTTTGCCATGTTAGCGTTTGCTAGTTAGCACTGATGCTAGCAAACACGATGTAGTGGAGGTGGATGCCATTCCTTTCTGGAGTCATAAATCTCCTTTGACACAATTTGACGTGATTTCTTTAAATGTCTGTAATTCAAACACACTTACATGGACAGTGTTAACTTAATGTTTAACATTTGCTCTTAAAGATGTTGACTGTCTTCCATGTTAGCGTTGGCTAATTAGCACACAGAGCACACCTCAGATTGGCATCCTGTGGTGGATGCCAATTGTTTTGTATTCATAAAAGTCATTGACACATTTTGACCACGCAACATGGCACCATACATAAAGTCGGTGGACTGCCAAAGTTATTACAATTGATGGAGGTGAACTTGAACATTACACCATTTTTGCTCTGTCATTATGTCCTCCACAACACTTTTTCGGGATGGTTTCTGTGATTTCTGGGTGGCCCCTGGTCTTTCCTCTGGGCTTCAACTCCTCTGACAGGCCCTTGATAGGCGAACAGTTTGCCTACCCCTCAGTCATGCCTCCAGGGAAGAATGTGACGCAGGGATCAATGTGATTACGTTGATTCAGTGTTTGCAGGCCCTCAGCAGGTTAACCTCTCAGCTCTTATGGGCCTGTGGGGCCTGCCACTCATTCCCAGATGATGAATTGTCCACCAGGCTTGTCAACACGTCCCTGCACAATTTACCAACAACTAAATAATACAGATTTTCACTTTCAGACACATAGGACCTTTTGGTCGAACACACATTTGCAACAAAGACCATTTAATTTGTATTTAAAGATCTGCATGAACATTAAATGACAGTCATAAATCAGTCTTTGTCGTAATACTCTTGGCGAAGTCCATAGGGACTTGGCTTGGCTTGGCTTGGCTTGGCTTGGCAACTGGAAGGTCACCAGTTCAAGTCCCGGCAAGACCAAGTGCTACCGAGGTGTCCCTGAGCAAGGCACCGTTCCCTACACTGCTCGCCGGGTGCCGTTCATAATGGCAGCCCACTGCTCCTAACACTAGGGTGGGTCAAATGCAGAGAAACCATTTTGTTACTTAGTACCTGTACTGTGTAATGACAATAAAAGTGAAAAAAAGAAGAAAAAAAAGCAGGAAAATAATCAAAAATCCTGCAATAATTGAGTAAAAGTACTCAGATCTTATTAATATTTGTATTTGAACTTGGCTACTGCAGGAAGTGTTGGTATAGAATATAATGAATATTTGAGTAATTTGTCTGGAGACCTATTTGCCCTATTTGCAGGCTGTCAAAACAAAAAGGGAATTGTGTTTCGAAAAGTTGTGTCGTACTGTTGGATGAAACTACCACATAGATAGAAAAAACATGACTGCATGTCTGTCACAAGACCTTTTAAAACCCTTTCTGCAAACAGTTTTTTAACACATAAGTGAGAACAGAGGCGGGAAGTAGTGGAGTACAAATACTTCGTTACTGTACTTAAGTACCGTACATTTTTCTGGTATCAGTACTTTACTCCACTACTTATTTTTCTGACGACTTTTTACTTTTACTTCTTACATTTTGAACACAAATACCTGTACCTTCTACTTCTTACATTTTCAAAACAGGTTTGTTACTTTAGTTTTAATCTGTGTTTGGTGGCGTGATCATTATTATTTAGAGTCATTGCGTGCCTATTGAGTTTAACACGATCCGTGTATCCATCATTTCCTGGTCTTCTCTAAAGAAGAGGGACCAATGAAAACGTTTGCCGTTGTTCAGCATCGAAACATTCATTAGCTAACAATGACATTATTGTTTTATTAATATAAAGGGAGGTAATTTACTCTTTAAAACAGATGGTAGTTATGAGTACTTTTTACTTAAGTACATTTCGAAACCCATACTTCTTTACTTTTACTTGAGTAAAGAAGTTTAGTCAGTACTTCTACTTTTATCAGAGTATTTTTAAACATGAGTATCTGTACTTCTACTTGAGTAAAGGATGTGTGTACTTTTGCCATCTCTGGTAGAGAATAAATAATATATCTGTCAAGAAATGTGGACAAACCTTTTCATTTCTGCATGTGCATTGTGAAATGTGTTATGCTCCGATGCTGGTGAGTCACTACACAGATCTGACTGAAACAATTCACCCAGTAGAGCTGATGCAGAATTCTGTACACATTAAGAGCTCCATATTTGAATCGGCTACCATTAGGTCATAAACACACATAAATTATCTCTGGAGGCACTGAAACATGTCTGATATCATCTGTCTCCAAATGATATTCATTCTGTGCATGAAACAGTCTGTCAGCTATGCATTTATTATTATTA